GCCATTGCACTCCAGCCGGAGCAACAGAACAAGACTCTGTCTCAAAAAAAAAAAAAGTATATTGGTTTTCTAGCAATATAATATTCTAATATGGCACCTTTTCTCCTCCTACGCTGCAGCACATCAAGATCTCAGTAGGGGAAGCATATAGAGTAGAAGCTGAAAGTGTAGCATCTGGCATCTAGAGCCACACAACCTGAGTTTGTGACCCAGCTCCATGACTACAAGGTATGTGACTTGTGCAAATTATTTAACCTATGGACTCCTTACTTTTATCTGTGAAATGGGGATAAAAAGGCATCCATCTTATAGGGCTTTGGTGAACTTTAAATAAAATAATGAATGCAAAGCACATAGTATGCCATTATTCTGGGTCCAAGCTCCCCAACCTTCTTTGTATTATAATGTACATTTTGGGGGAAAAAAGTTAATGTTTGCATGGGGAACCAGGGCAAACTAGACTGCTCATAGACAAAACAAGGAACCTCCCAGGTCCTGAAGAGATCTATTTACTACAGCTGATACCACACATTATTCCCAGATGAAAATTTCTCCTCTCCATACTGGATTTTTACTTCATTTTACAGGCAACATTTCTCTCAGGATGCTATCTATGCCCCCAATACAAAGTGTGTAAATTTTTAGCCAACACTGTTCTCTCTCTTTCTCATAAGCAGTTAAAGCCATTATTATTATTATTATTATTATTATTTACCTTTAAGCTCTGTTGGACTTAAGCCATTATGTTTCTAACCAATATAACCAGAATTCTTCTTTAAAGTATTTACCCCACACACTATTGCCAGAAGCAGGGTTATCCACAAGTCTTATGGTTAGAAACAGGTAGGTGAAGAGTAATTCTGAAGCTGAGGTTTGCCATCACCCAAATCCCTGCTTACCATTTTCAAGTATATCACACTGGCTGGAGGGTGAAGCTAAACCCAGGAAGGCCTGAGAAGGAGGTAAACCCACCAGGCCTCCACTGCTGCCTTCATTCTGCCCTTCTCCACCCAGCCATTGCATCATCTCCCTTCAGACTGCTGTTCTTGGCCTTTCAGTCACTTAGCAAATATGGCCACCCTTCCACTTTCAGCTTCACATGATAAAGTTGCAAATGTGTTAATTCCAAATCCAAATATCTAGAGAGAGAATCTGATGGGACCAGGTTGACTCAGCTGCCCACTCTGTAATCAGCAAAAGCATGGTAGCATGTGAGCCCATGACAAGCAGCCAGTGTCCACTCTTAGGATACAGTGCAGACATTTGGGAGAAAGCTCAGTTCATTAAGGTCACAGATTGAACCAAAGACTGAATCCATTACAGTCACACATTGATCATTCTAACATCAGGCCTGAAATTCCCACAAGTCACTCTAAAGACTCTTGTTAGAAGTACGCTGGTTTTCTAGCAGCACAATATTCTAAGATATTTTCAGTCATTGATAGCTAAAAATGAAAGTGTGTAGATACAAAATAGAAATGTTTTTGACAAAGTACGGGGCCTGAACATTCATGGAGTAAAAAGCAATGTAAAGAGAGCAGTTCTCCCATACAGAAGTGTCCTGGGAAGATGGGAAGCTATCTGGATACATGCAGGAAAGCTGGGAGGGAGAAAATGAAAACAAGGGGAAAGAAGGTGGCAATGAAATGAGAAAGGGACTCTGAAAATGAGCACATAAACCACCCTCAAAATTTTTTCCACAGCCAGGGATATTCAAGGGCTGTGGCATGAAAAGCTGTTTTAAAAACCAACATTAACTAGTGACCCCAGTTCTCTGCAGAAAATGGGCTGAAATGAAAAATCAGAGCTTGGCAGAGGGCAAAATTGTTCTGCTCAACACGAAGGAGAATTTATTACAAGACTATAATTTTGATAGGAAAAACCAGAGGACATGGTTTGACAAAGAATTTTTCTGTGCTATTTCAGGACAAATAAGGCAATCTGAAGAATGTACTTTGGATATTTAAATATTGGGAGTTACTTGATACCACAGTGGTATACAAAGAAAGAAACTAGAGCTATGTAGGAGGTAGAGTCAATTCAAGTAAAGGAAAGGGAATATTGAACCCGTTTTCAATTTTAAGGAACAATATAACAAACAACAATATATAAAGTCAGAGAAATTTTGCCAGAGAAAATTCTCCAGGGACTGAATAAAGCTACGGTTCTATCGAACTGGAATTCACCTCAGACTCTTAGTCAAGGAGTTGATATTAATTAATATGTCACAGACTGCTTTCCAACACACTTTGTTCCTTTCACTGCAGTCAGACAATATTAATTTGACTTATGATTGGTTCAATGAATTGCTTTTGAAGTTGCCTTAGTTTCTGACATCTCCCAATGCAAAATCAAATAAGGGATAATGCCCTTCAACTCTCAATAACCCCCTCCAAAAAGGAGTAATTTCTGTTATTTCTCATCCACTTCCTTAAAAAACTCTCGCCCTTTGCTTAGAACGCAAATATAGGTTAAGATTCAAATGTAAGTAACAAAAAAAAACTTGAACTTATGTAAAGTTGAAACAGGAATATAGTAATAGGCCACTGGGCTGTTTCAAGGAAGCCAATGGCAGCTGCCTCCATCGGCCACCATAAGCTAAAAAGCTACAAGAAATCAGTTTATTTTGCCATATCCTGTGTTCTTTTCTTCTGCAGACAGGCTTCCTCCACATGAGGTAGAAGATGGACACTCCATAGCTCTTCTGTTTACATCCAAAAAAGCCCCCCTAAAATTTCTTTTTTTTTTTTTGAGATAGAGTCTCAGGCTGTCACCCAGGCTGGAGTGCAGTGGCGCAATCTCAGCTCACTGCAGCCTCTGCCTCCCAGATTCAAGCGATTTTCCTGACTCAGTCTCCCGAGTAGTCAGGATTACAGGAATGTGCCACCACACCCAGCTAATTTTTGTAGTTTTAGTAGAGATGGGGTTTCGCCATGTTGGCCAGGCTAGTCTCAAACTCCTGACCTCCGGTGATCCACCCATCTTGGCCCTCAAAGTGCTGGGATCACAGGTGTGAGCCACTGCACCCAGCCTAAACTGAAATTTCGTAGTTTCACTTTCAAATTTCTAGGCAAGAGATCATCATCAACCCACCTTGACCCAGCTCTGATTCAGTCCCATGTGACTGTCCCCCAGTTTTTCCTACCTTGATAGCATTCCTAACTTCTGCTTATATTTTGGGCTGTTGGTTCCTCTGGTGTCCTATTGTCTACCTAGCCAACCACTCTGCTTTACGTCTTTTAGAAATATCTAAAAAGTTTCTGCTCCATCCATATCACTCTTTCTTGTTTTCCATTGTTCTTATGAAAGCATTCCCTCTGTATTATCTCAAAGGAATTCTCTTAGGAGGAAGTGGATGTGGGTAACCTGCCTACCATCTTAACACAACTGTCTTCATTCTTGAAGCTACTTCTTGTTACTGTTCCTTTGCAGTCCTTCCTTTTGTCTAGTGCTATATCAAAGCATAACTTAAATTATGTCACTCCCCAGATCAAAGATTTCAAAGACTCCTAAAAGCCTTCCCATGGCAGCAGGTACAAATTGCTTATCCTGACATTTAAGATCATTTGTGATCTAACCCAAATAACTCTTTCTGGAAAACCCTGACCATTTGCCTTCTTAAATCTAATTCTTTACTCTAAAGTGTCCACTTGCTCCTCTTCTCCAAATAGTCACCACATGTAAGCCTTTTCTACTGTAACTTTGCTTTCTCTTTCCTCTGCCTTACTCCTTACACCAACTGCAACCCCAGTAATCATTAAAACTCTTAAAGATTCAGACATCCTCTTGAAGCCTTCTTACCCATTCAGGTCACTGTTATATTTTATTTCAGAAAAACCCATATAACTTTGAACAAATCTTTCTTTTGACAATTATCTCCTCATTCCTTGTTTTTATTGCTGCTAAACATATTACCTCTCTCATTAAATTATAAGTAAATGACAGAGAATGTCTTTATTCATCTTTTGCATCCCGTCTAGCACTTTATATGGTACATAGTACTTTCTCAAAAAGAATTAAATAAAGGTGGAAGAAAAAAATTAAGTCTTTACTTGGACTTTACTCCTTCCTTTTTAATATTCATTATTTCTATCACATTGCATTTCCAAAATAATTTTATTGTGTGCTGTACTTCACTAAATTCATTTTTACATATTTGTAAAATATCATTATTGCAGCCTTAATAAAACCAAGAACCAGGTGTTTCACTCTTAGAATAGTTTCCTATCCATAGGAACACAACCCAGCAACCAAATATAAATTCAATCTGAAATCTCTGATTGCATTTCTCAAAAAGCACAAAGGGAATTCAAATACATGGTCCATAGCATCATCTATAAAAATCCCTCCTGTCTTCAATCCATCTCCATCAAACCTCACAGCTACTCCACAAAATGTCTCTCTATAACCTTCACACCCTCTCAAGCTCTTCCACTGCTCAGTTGAACCCTGCTTTGCTTCCCTTACCTTCAAGTCAAGATAGGTTAATCAGATTCCCTGTCCTAAAAAATTAGAAGTATGACTAAGATATTTTGGTTCAATTTGAGCAGATCTTTTGAATGTAAGTGAATATCACCTGTCATGGGAGAAGTCTATTTGACAAAGGAGAACTCTCCTACAGAAAGAAAGAATATGCCTTTTGCAGGCAGAGAATGAGTAGGCAGGGGAACGGTTGACAATTATAAATTCTCTTCCTGTGGTAGCATGAAATCTTATAACACCATGAATTTGACATTTCAACTAAGACGATGGTATAAAAGTCTGCTGTCTCCTTCATCTTCACCCTTTCGCCTTTTAGGAAAACTTGGAAATACACAAAACTATCAGCAGATATCAAAACACATGACAAGAAGCAAATTTCACAGTTAATGGATGTTTCTATGCCGAATGAGAGGAGAAAGGCATCTTAAAAAAGAACGAACTTCTGATGAATTTTACATATTTCAAAAATTTTAGATAAACAGACCAGGAAGTATTTCAGATACATTCTGCAGGCTTACCTGGGAAGCTCTCCAGTGGAAAGGCTGATTATCTTGAATATTCAGAGACATGTGACTGCCTTGGTTTGAAGGCTCTGGCGCTAGAGACAAAGGTGCAAGAGGCTGTGATGAACTGCAGAGAACAGAGGGAGTCACATGGCTCTCAGTCCCATAACAGGGTTGCCCCTTTTGGACTTGTGACTGCAGAAAGCAGCTGCCCTCACACAACGTACCTCTCTTAGCTCATCTAATTGTCTGATAATCATGCTATTTGTTTCCATTTTCTTTTGAATTATTGTACCCCAATCCATTTCATCTTTATGCTCATTCACTTTTAGCATTTTAGTTATTTCCTGCACTTAATTTTTAATCCCAGTGACTTTTATACTTTTCACTTCTCATCCTCTTCCAATATATCTTAATCTTTTCTCTCTTTTACAGTCATGGTTTTAACCTTTTATCTCATTGCCCTCTGGCCGTCTCTCATTTATTCTAAGTCTCATCCACTTCTTCCTTTTATTATGTTTTTAATGTAAAGGCATTAACCTTTATTTGGGGTTAAAGTCTCTTTTTTTTTTCTATTCCTCTTTATTCATTTTCTTTTTTCTATCTGACTCAATCTTTTAAATTATACTTTCTTCTAAATATATACCTTTCTTTGTAAAATGAAAATCTGTTCTCTCTTCTCCCTCTTCTTCCAATTTTTTGTACATAAAATGTTTATTTTTACAACACCTGGTAAGAAGTAAGCCTAAAGGGGTGTTGACTCCATATATAGGGGAGGCTGGAGACTTTCTGCTCATTCCTCACTTTACTTGGAGGCACCCCTCCAGATTCCAGAATTCCACACTCCCACTACCCCAGGGACCTCCCAGTCCTACTTAGAAATCTCAGAACACTGTCACCTGGGAAGACAGAAAAACATAAGAAGTAATGCTTTCTAGGACTCTTGTTTTCCACATAGTAGGCTCACTTAACTCTCCCAACTCCATAGAGACCTGTTACCTTGATCTATCTGGGTTATACATGAGGCTCTACAATTAATATTGTGTTGTCTTGAGGCAAGGGGAATTTTTTTTAATTCATGAAGATGTAAGAAAGCTACAAAATAGAGGAGAGAGAAGATGGCGCTGTAGGACCAACTCAGGATTGCAGCTCCCAGTGAGACCACAGATGGTGAGTGGACGCCGCATTTCCAGACAGATCTTTATTGCCCACAGACCAGGAGATTCCCAGGTGTAGGAGCCGCATGGGCCACCAGCGCGGCTGTTTGGGCCAGGGCCGCAGCGCAGCGGCACTCCGTACAAAATTCACTGGTTTGGTTACCCTGTTAAACTGGCAATTGGAGATTTCAGAAGGCAGATTAGCACACTCATCTGATTAAATGTGACTTAAACAGAAAGTGAGGCCAGGAGATTCCCGGGCAGCAACGTGGCTCCAGCCAGAGCAGTGGGTCACTGCACGGGAAATCACACAGATCCTGGTGCCCTTTCAGCAGGTGACTGGAACACCTGAGAGAGAATCAACTGTTCAACTTAAAAAAAAAAGGGGGGGATCTGAGGCAGGGAGCCAGGTGATCAGGCTCGGCGGGTCCCACCCCCACAAAAACAAACAAAACAGCAATTGGAAACGCTCCGGGTTGAGAGTTTCACGGCAAGCACAGCTGAACCCAGAATGGTGCATCTCGGAGGGGGAGGGGCGTCCACCATTACCGACGCACTGGACCCCTACGGAGGTACACTGCCATTGCTGATGCAGCCTGCCGTTGCCAAGGCAACCTGCCATAACAGAGAGAGTCCGCCACTACAGAGACAGGCCATCATCACCACGGCAGCTCTAACCACACCCATATAAACAGGACTACAGGGAATTACACACGGCAGCAGGGCGGAGCCCATGGCAACAAGGCAGAGCCCATGGCAGCTCAGCATAACCACTACAGGCAGGCAGTGATTAGACTGCCTCGCTGCTGGGCAGGACAGTATAACGGATACTCATAAAGGCCTAACTCCCCAGGATAGAGCACCTGAGGAAAAAAAAGGGGCTTTATGAGTTCCGCTGAGCACACTTAAATGCACCTGCCTAGCAACCCTGAATGAACAACGGAGCTCACAGTTCAGAACTTGAGCTCCTATAAAGTACAGATTGTCTCCTCAAGTATCAAGTACAGACAGTCTCCTCAAGCAGCTCCCTGATCCCTGCATATCCAAAGAGTCACCTCTCAAAGAACTGATCAGACTGACATTTGGCGGGTATCATTCAGGAACAAAGATAGCAGAAGAAGAAATGGGTAGCAACCCTCACAGTTCCGCTGCTGCTACAGGTGTACCCCAGGCAAGTAGGGCCTGGAGTGGACCGCAGTAGTCCTACAGCAGCAGGGCTAGACTGTTAGAAGGAAAACTAAGAAACAGAAATACATCATCATCAACAATGTGAACATCCATTCAGAGACCCAATTGGAAAATCAGCAACTACACAGACGACAGGTGGATAAATCCACAAAGATGGGAAGAAACCAGCACAAAAAGGAGGAAAACACCTGAAACCAGAACACCTCGCCTCCTACAAGGGACCACAATTCCTCACCAGGAAGGGAACAAAGCTGGAGGAGAATGAGTGTGATGAAATGACAGAATCAGACTTCAGAAGGTGGGTAATGAGAAACTTCCATGAGCTAAAAGAACATGTTCTAACTCAATGCAAAGAAACTAAGAACCTTGAAAAAAGATTTGAGGGAATGATAACAAGAATGGACAACTTAGAGAGGAATATGAGTGAATTGAAGGAGCTGAAAAACACAACACGAGAACTGCACAAAGCATGGACAAGTTTCAACAGCTGAATTGACCAAGCAGAAGAAAGGATATCCGACGTCAAACAGCAACTCAATGAAATAAAACGAGAAGCCAAGATTAGAGAAAAAAGCGCAAAAAGGAATAAACAAAGTCTCCAAGAAATGTGGGACTATGTGAAGAGACCTAATCTACGTTTGATAGGAGTACCTGAATGTGATGAAGAGAATGAATCCAAGCTGGAAAATACTCTTCAGGATATTATCCAGGAAAATCTCCCCAACCTAGCAAGGCAGGCCAATATTCAAGTCCAGGAAATACAGAGAATACCACAAAGATATTCCGCAAGAAGAGCAACCCGAAGGCACATAATCGTCAGATTCAACAGGGTTGAAACGAAGGAGAAAAATGCTAAGGGCAGCCAGAGAGAAAGGTCGGGTCACCCACAAAGGGAAGCCCATCAGACTCACAGCAGATCTCACGGCAGAAACCCTACAAGCCAGAAGAGATTGGGGGCCAATATTCAACATACTTAAAGAAAAGAACTTTCAACCCAGCATTCCATATCCAGCCAAATTGAGCTTCTTAAGTGAAGAAAAAATAAAATCATTGTGAACAAGCAAGTACTCAGAGATTTTGTCACCACCAAGCCTGCTTTACAAGAGCTCCTGAAAGAGGCACTACACATAGAAAGGAACAACCAGTACCAGCAATTCCAAAAACATACCAAATACTAAAGAGCATCAACAAAATGAAGAATCTGCATCAACTAATGGGCAAAACAGTCAACTAGCATCAAAATGGCAGTATCAAATACACATATAACAATATTAACCCTAAATGTAAATGGGCTAAATGCACCAATCAAAAGACACAGACTGGCAAACTAGATAAAAAGCCAAAACCCATCGGTGTGCTATATCCAGGAAACCCATCTCACATGCAAAGATACACAACGGCTCAAAATAAAGGGATGGAGGAAGATTTACCAAGCAAATGGAGAGCAAAAAAAAGCAAGAGTTGCAACTCTCGTCTCTGATAAAATAGACTTTAAAGCAATAAAGATCAAAAGAGACAAATAAGGTCATTACATATGGTAAAAGGATCGCTACAACAAGAAGAGATAATGATCCTAAATATATATGGACCAAATACAGGAGCACCCAGATATATAAGGCAAGTTCCTAATGACTTACAAAGAGACTTAGACTCCCACACAATAATAGTGGGAGACTTTAACACTCCACTGTCAATATTAGACAGATCAACAAGACAGAAAATTAACAAGGATATCCAGGGCTTGAACTCAGACCTGGAACAAGCAAACCTGATAGACATCTACAGAACTCTCCACCCCAAATCCACAGAATATACATTCTTCCCAGCACCACATCACACCTACTACAAAATCAACTACATAACTGGAAGTAAAGCACTCCTCAGCAAATGCAAAACAACTGAAATCATAACAAACAGTCTCTCAGACCATAGTGCAATCAAGTTAGAACTCAGAATTCAGAAAATAACTCAGAACTGCACAGATTCATGGAAACTGAACAACTGGCTCTTGAATGTTGACTGGATAAACAATGAATTGAAGGCAGAAATAAAGAAGTTCTTCAAAACCAACAAGAACAAAGAAACAACATGCCAGAATCTCTGGGACACATTTAAAGCAGTCTCCAGAGGAAAATATATAGCAATAAGTGCCCACATGAGAAGAGTGGAGAGATCCAAAATTGACACCCTATCATCAAAATTGAAAGAGCTAGAGGAGCAAGATCAAAAAACTCAAAACCTAGCAGAAGACAAGAAATAACTAAGATCAGAGCAGAACTGAAGGAGATAGAGACACGAAAAACCCTTCAAAAAATCAATAAATCCAAGAGCTTGTTTTTTGAAAAGATCAAAAAATAGACAGACCACTAGCCAGATTGATTAAAAAGAAAAGAGAGAACAACCAAATAGATGCAATAAAAAACGATAAAGGAGAAATCGCCACAGATTCCACAGAAATTCAAACCATCATCACAGAATATTACAAACAACTCTATGCACATAAACTAGTAAACCTGGAAGAAATAGATAAATTTCTGGACTCCTGTGTCCTCCCAAGCCAAAACCAGAAGGAAGCCAAAAATATGAATAGACCAATAATAAGGTCTGAAGTCGAGGCAGCAATTAAGAGCCTACCACACAAAAAAAAGCCCAGGTCCAGATGGGTTCACAGCCGAATTCTACCAGACACACAAAGAGGAGCTGGTACCATTCCTTCTGAAACTCTTCCAAATAATCCAAAAAGAGGGAAT